GACAGACTGCACCATCCTTGGCCGGATGGGAGGGATTCCTGGGGAGCTGTGAGGAGGGTCCCCGGAAGATCGCCGGAGAGTTCCTGTACCTGGGCTGGGGGCCCTGAGGCGGGAGAGGGGCTGGAATGGGAGTCCGGGAGAAAAACGCCCCTCCTGGCACTCTGGGGCGGGGCTCCCCGAGTCTGCAGGAGGAAGAAGGGTGGGTCGGGCTGTGGGGGGGAGCGAGTGTCCTGGACTTGTGTTTAGGGGTCAGAACTGGTCTGACCTGGCAGCTTTGGGGACTGCGGGGAGAGGGGCTGGTCCTGACAAAGACCAGAGCACAGGCCGAGCACATGCACACACATGCATGCACATAACCACAATCGCACGCGTGCACACGTACACGTGTAATTGCATGTGTACACACACGTGCACATGCACACACACATGGAATTGCATGTGTGCACACCTATGCACACCCTGGAACTCTGCACACACATGTTGCCATGGTGACCCACAGCTCTCCCGAGGGGCGTCTCCGCCTTTCCACTCGCTCAGGACGGGGCAGGCCCAGGGCACACACCCAGGGGTGCCCCCAGAAGAGCGGGCCGCAGGGCTGTGTTGGGAGGGGTCTCCAGGTTCGGGCTGGGCCCATGGAGAGGGCTTGGGCCCTGCTTTGGGGGCATCTGAGGTGTTGGGGGTCCTCGCCTGGCCAGGGAGAAAGGGCGAATCCATCAGGACATGCTGGGCTCCAGACTCAGGGTGGCCTCTACCCAGAGGGTCAGCCGAGGACAGTGGAATTAAGGGGACTCGCCCGGGGCCAGGGAGGGCGGGCGAGGCAGATGTGGACTGGCAGGTGCCGGAAAGGTGAAGGCAAACCCACTGCGTGCAGTTGAGGGGGACCCCACCCCGCGAGCCAGGACCAGACTCAGAGCACTCCCGCAGACCCCGGCCACCAGGCACCCCCCACTGGCTAGATCCCCCACATCCTGGGTTGGGGGTCAGGGAGGCGGAAGTCCTCAGCACCCCACCCTGCCCGGCACAGGGCTCAGAGGGTTGCACATGAGGCTGGCGGGGGGGGGGGGGGGTGAGCAGGAACAAGGACAGGGATTCTGGGGAGTCGGCCCAGGAAGAAGTCCCTGAGCCTGAGTCAGGAGAACCCCGTGCTCAGCCTCAGTTTCCCTACCCGGGAACTCCTGGGAAGGTTCTGTGTATGTTCACGAGGGCAGAGTTAGGTTGGGGGACAAGAGGGGACCTGGTGAATGCTGGGGCCACTCCCTACCCCCAGAGGCCGAGGGCTCCTAGAGTGGCCGCTACTTTGTCCCTCCATGTCAGGGCCTACACGTGGCCACACCAGAGGGAACTGAAGTTCCCACCCGTGGCTGGTGGCTGACCCAGTGGGACCAGGACCACCCCTTGTCACATGCAGACCCTCTGTCCTTTACAAAGACCGCTGCCACCTGCAGGGGTCACCTGGATCCTCTGTCCAGCACAGAGCAGCCCCTCCTCCAGGAAGTCCGCCCGTCAGAGATGACCTCTGCAACCTGGACCCGGCGGTGTGGAAAGGGGGAGACTCTGAGCCCCAGAAATCCCAAGCGAAGGGGCAGCGAGGCTGGACCCCGGGTGGGCGGGGTGTGAGCCAGGACCCCCCACACATGCCGCAGCAAGGGCTCCCTGGGGGCCACCCTCCGCCCTGACCGACAATTTGCTCACAGGTGCGCGTGCAGAGCCGAGACTCTGGGTCCTCGGGCCTGGACATGGCGGCCAACTGCTCCTGGGAGCCGCAGCCCGCCGCCGCTGACCGGAACAAGGCAAGTGCCCAGGCGGCCGGGGTGGCGGGAAGGCCAAGCCCAGCACCCGATCCTGGGGCTCCCGTAGGACTACAGCACCCATCTGGGCCAGGGGTTGTCCCCCACGAGTCCAGGGTCCTCACTGGTACGGGGAATGGACGTCCTTGAGGCCTCCTGGTGCCACCCTGAACTAAGTCGCCCAGTGCAACCCCGACAGCCTCCCCTCCCCCAGGGACAGGCCCTGAGACAGGCTGGGGGGGGGGTGGCACCATCCTCCCCTGCACACAGTCCCAGGGACCCCCTGCCTGTGCTGCCCAAGGCTGGGGCCCTTCAGTCTCCAGGTACCCACGGCAGCTGAGACCCTCGCAACTGCCATCAGGCTGACCCCCATTTGCTGCCCCCCATACCTGCACCCCTCTTCTCCGGGGCCTCCCTGAGCCCCAGGGAAAAATGCAAGTTAGCCCAGCAATACGGCAGCCACTTTCGAGGAAACAGATGCAGCCCTGGGCGGTTCGGCCGTGGGAACGGGGTTGAGGGGGGGAGTTAAAAGGGCAGGGCAGGGTGGGGACCCTTGCCCGGGGGGACCCCGCAGTGCTCCACCCTGCCTGTGGCCCTGTCCGACCCTCCGGAGGAGGTGACGGGGGGGGGGGGGGGTATCTGCAGCGGCTGGCGAGGGTGGCCCCACGCCCCGTGACTCACCAGCCTCCCTCGCAGCCGGCCAGGGAGCTGCAAGCTTTTTCCACACCCGCTGGGCCCTCCCGGGCAACCCAGCTCCGTGTGTGTGTGTGTGTGTGTGTGTGTGTGTGTGTGTGTGTGTGTGTGTGTGAGACTTCTGGGTCTGCCCCCACCCGAGTCCGTCAACAGCAGCTGGAACGTCTCAGGGAGAGGACAGACAGACAGATGGACAGACGTGCTGAGCCAGCACATGGAGTTGACCAGCGCACACAGGACGTCCTTCAAGGGCTCGCCCTGTCCCCACGAGTCTCCCCCAAGTTCTGCTACACCTCAAGTCTGCTTGCCAGAAGCTTCTATCCCTGCCTCTGCCCCGCCCCCCCCCCAAGTTCAAGTTCATAAAGGGCTGCTGCCTGGCCCAGCTTATCTGGAAGGGGGTTTCTTTCTGCTCTCTCTCTCTCTCTCTCTCTCTCTCTCTCTCTCTCTCTCTCTCTCTCTCTCTCTCTCCCTCCCATTTTGTTTTGTTTTGTTTTTTACTTTTTGGGTCACACCCGGCGATGCTCAGGGGTTACTCTTGGGGGACCCTATGGGATGCCAGGGATCGAACCCAGATTGACCGAGTGCAAGGCAAACACCCTCCCCGCTGTGCTATCGCTCCGTCCCCTCCTTTTATCCTGAGTGAGAGTAAGTGATCCCCAGCTGTTAAGGCTGAGTGACAGTCAGGGGCGTTAGGGGGGTTAGTGATGCCCGCTGTGTGTGGGAAGGGAACTGTCTTGGCCTCTTGTTGTCAGTCTAAACAGCACCAACCCATGCAGCGTCCAGATTGCACGTGTGGGTCAGCACAAGGTTCTTTTTTTTTTTTGACTTTTAGGGTCACACCTGGCGATGCTCAGGGGTTACTCCTGGCTCTGCACTCAGGAATTACTCCTGGCGGTGCTCGGGGGACCATATGGGATGCTGGGAGTTGAACCCAGGTTGACCGCATGCAAGGCAAACGCCCTACCCACTGTGCCATTGCTTCAGCCCCCAGCATGAGGTTCTTTAAAGACCAGCCTTTAAAGATTAGGACCGGGGCCAGAGCGACAGAACCAGCATGTAGGTCTCTTGCCTTGCATGTGGCCGGCCCAGGTTCGATCCCCGGCTTCCTATACGGTCCCCCGAGCACTGCCAGGAGTGATCCCTGAGTGCAGAGCCAGGAGTAACCCCTGAGCATTGCTGGGTGTGACCCAAAAAGCACTGTAGCACTGTCCTCCCGTTGTTCACTGATTTCCTCAAGGGGCCCAGTAATGTCTCCATTGTGAGACTTATTGTTACTGTGTTTGGCATAGCGAATATGTTATGGGGAGCTTCCCAGGCTCTGCCGTGCAGGTGAGATACTCTCAGTAGCTTGCTGGGCTCTCCAAGAGGGGTGGAGGAATCGAACCTGGGTTGGTCAGGTCGGCCATGTGCAAGGCAAACGCCCTACCCACCGTGTTATCGCTCCAGCCCAAAAAGCAAACAGGCAAATAAAGGGAAGGTCAGGAAGGTTCACGCACAGCCGTTCGGCTCCTCTGGGGAGGGGGAGATTATGGGCGCTCGGCCCCTTGTCCTCGGGGCCTGCTCCCTTGGCGGTGCCGACCCCATGGTGCCCATGCTTGCTGCTGGCCCGTGTCCATGGGCCTTGGCGTGCCCAGACCGCACAGCACAACTGACATCCAGCAGAACGCTGTGTGGCAGAACAGCTGTCCACACCTGCCTGAGTCTCGGCCCAGGAACCCAGGGAGGCCGTGCCCAGCGGCCACCTGGCCCCGCACCTCTCTGCTCGAGCCACAGCCACAGCCACAGCCACTTCCGGGGCCTTTTTGTGACGGGAGGTTTTTGCTTTTGTTGTTCGTTTCTTTCTGTTTGTTTTGTCAGAGAAAATTCTAGCGCGCAGAGGGGCGAGTGTTGAGAGTGTGCCCACAGCAGGGCCCCCTCACCAGGGCTGCTGCCCTCTTGCCCTAAGGGTTTTCTCGCCCCTCTCCAGACGTCCACTGTTTCCCCAAAACCGCCTGGAAGTCAACTCCAGGCACCAAGTCCGGAGGCCCACGCAGGCTCCCTCAGAAGGGGGTGCAGGGCCACCACCAGTGCACAGCAGGGAGACTCTGGCCGGCACACGGTGAGCCCGGGGTCCATCCCCGGCGCCCCATATGGTCCCCGAGCCCTGCCACGAGTGATCCCTGAGCACAGGGCCCGGAGTAACCCCTGAGCACCGCTGAGCAGGGCCTCCCCCACTGAAAAAAAGAAAAAAAAGAGGGCGGCCTCCTCCCCGAGGCCACGGCGGCGCGTGTCCGGCAGAGGAAGTGGCCCGCTGCCTACCAGGCTCACGTTCAGCTGTGCCCTGCCGCTGTCCCTTGCGAAAGGCGCCTGGCCCGCCCTCCACCCACCTAACCAGGGGGCGTCCCTGGGACCAGCCCTGCAGCCAGGTGCGGTCCCCCCTTGGGGCGGGGCAGGGCGGGGCCCGGGGACCCAGGTGAGTCCGGAGCCAGGGCCACGCAGCAGCGGGCAGCCGGTCACCGGGGTCCCCGTCCCGCCCCGCAGATGTGTCCGGGCGGTGGCAGCGAGGCCCCGCCGGAGCTGTACAGCCGCGGCTTCCTGACCTGGGAGCAGCTCAGCGCCCTGCCCCCGCCGGCCGTGGTCAGCTACATCTTCCTGCTGCTGTGCGCCTGCGGCCTGGTGGGCAACGCGCTGGTGCTCTGGTTCTTCGGCTTCTGCATCAAGCGCAGCCCCTTCTCCGTGTACTTCCTGCACCTGGCGGCCGCCGACGCCGGCTACCTGGCCAGCAAGGCGCTGCTGGCGCTGCTGGGCGCCGGCGGGCTGCGGGGGCCCCCGGCCGACTACGTGCGCGCCGTGTGCCGGCTGGCCGGCCTGTGCGCCCTGGTCACCTCGGTCAGCCTGCTGCCCGCCCTGGCGGCCGAGCGCTGCGCCTGCGTCACGCTGCCCGCCTGGTTCTGGCGCCGGCGGCCCGCGCGCCTCTCGGCCGTGGTGTGCGCCCTGCTCTGGGGCTGCGCGCTCCTGCTCACCGGCCTGCACAACTACTTCTGCGCCGTCCTGGGCCCCGGCGCGGCGGCCTGCGGCCACGTGGACGCCTTCCTGGGCATCCTGCTCTTCCTGGTCCTCTGCCCGCTGATGGTGCTCCCGTGCCTGGTGCTCGTCCTGCACGTGGAGTGCCGCGCCCGGCGGCGCCAGCGCTCGGCCAAGCTCAACCACGTGGTGCTGGCCACGGTGTCCGTGTTCCTCGTGTGCTCCATCTACCTGGGCATCGACTGGTTCCTCTTCTGGGTCTTCCAGATCCCCGCGCCCTTCCCCGAGTACGTCACCGACCTGTGCCTCTGCGTCAACGGCAGCGCCAAGCCCGTCGTCTACTTCCTGGCCGGGAGGGACAAGGGGCAGCGCCTGTGGGAGCCGCTCCGGGTGGTCTTCCAGCGCGCCCTGCGCGACGGCGCCGAGCTGGGGGAGGCGGGCGGCGGCGGCGGCGGCGGGCCCACGGCCAACACCGTGGCCCTGGAGATGCAGTGCGCCCCCGGGAACGCGTCCTGAGGGAACGCTGCCCCGCCCTGGGGGCCCAGGGGGGCCACCCCCGGGTCCTGAAGACACCCCCCGCCCCTCCGGGGGACCAGCAGACTCCCGCGGCAGACACCGGGCCCCTGGCGCCAGGACCTTGGCAGAACAGGACAGCGGGGAGAGCCCCGGCAGAGGGAGGGCCTGCCCGGAACCTGCTGTCCATCTCCGGGGAGACTCCCAACCGGGCTGTCCACTCCCCGAACCCCCGCCTCCGGGTGCGGCCTGTGCCCCTTGGTGAAAGCTCTGTTGACTTCGGGGGTGGGGCAGGGGCGCTGGCCACGGTGAGGTTTGGGCAGCCTGACCAGGCCCCAAGCATCTGTCCTCCCGGGCCACCTGCTGGTCTCTGGGCCCGCCCCAGGCCAGCTGCAGACACTGCAGCCCAGACCGGAAGTGCCTCTAATAAAGGTTTCTCCCTCGCAGAGGAAAGATGCGGCCTCTGGCTCCTGGGCCTTATCCCCGCCAAGCGGAGCCCCCGGCCCTGGACCTGTCGGGGGACCCTGCGGTGGCAGCTGTGCCTGCTCCGTGACCTCCCCTGATTGGCCAGCCCCCCCATTCTGGGTGGAAAAGGACTCTCCATCCGGAAGGGCACAGGGGATCTGGTGCCGTGTGGCCCTGAGACCCCCCACCCCGCAGGGAGCTGCCCCGGCTGGCCCCTGCAGACTCCGCCTTCACCCCCAGTGTCAGAGATGCTGGAATTCCTGTGCGTGCCCTGGGCACCCCCATTTCTGGGCCAATGAAGGGTGCTGGGCAGGACGGGGACCCCTGTGGTTATTCCAGCCTGCAGTCTCTGCAGGGGGACCACGGGGGGCCTCTGTTACCTGCCTCCCCCCACCCCCAGGAACTGGCACCACATGCTCGGGCCTCCCCAGTTCCCAGCCTGCAGGAACACATGCTTTGGCACCTCAGAGTTAGTGTGTCCCCTGCTATCCCAGCCTGGGGACAGTTCCCTGGACTAGCAAGGACTCGGGTCCTGGGAAGGAGGAAGTCGAGGCTGCAGCTCTGGAAAGCCTGGGCAGAGGATTCAGACGCCACCTCTCCCTCTGGCGGGCAGGGGTCCGGGAGCAGGGGTGAGGCCGGGGGGTGCCCCTGGTCTTGCTGTCGAGGAGGAAATGGAGGCAGAAGGCGACATTGGTGGGTGCGGTCACCAGCCCAGCTGTCTGTCACTCGGACCCCCTCCTGCTCCCGGGTTTCAGACTCTGAGCCTGTTCCCTTCCGGTCTCCAGCACCCTGGGGTCCCCACCTCCACCCAGGCCTCACCCTGAACCCTGAGATCCGTGCTTTCCTCCCGGAAGGAACATGGAAAATCGAGACCGCAACTTCCGGAGGGAGGAGATAGGTACGGGGTAGGTGCTACTACCAGGCCGTCATCGGAGGGAGCCGATGTGGGGCAGGATGCCCCCGCCGAGAGCAGGGGACCCGGCGGGCAGGATGGCCCAGCCCATCACAGGGCGGGGAGCTGCCCGCGGTCATCTCCTGCCCACCCCCGGCCCCAGCCCCCCTGCCCTGGCCACTGGAGCAGAACCACCAGCACCCCCAAATCTTCCTCCTCCTGTGGAGAGCCCGGGAGTGGCCAGACCCCCCACTCCAGATTGTCGGGTGGAATCTGTGAGGCTGATGGTGCTGGGACCCCCACGGCAGATAGTGGGGCTTTGCAGCCCCCGCCAACAGGGGCCCACCTGAGGGGGGGGGACACACTAGGAGTTGGGAGTGTGCCCCCTCTCCCGGGAGCCCCCCGCTGTGAGAGGCGCTGGCTTGGGGGCGCAGACCGGTGGGGCCCCCCATGCCCAGCTTGGCCAGCCTGTGAAGGGCTGGGGTGCTCCTGCAAACCAGGGACTCCCCAGGGGCCCCTCAGCCTGCTCCCCACTCGGCCACCGTGCCCACCACATCAGGCCCCCAGTTCTCCTTCGCTCACTTTTCTTCCCAGGGCTGATGCGGGCGGCCACACCTGTTCCTCCATCGGAGGGGGCGGGGCTGGACCCCCATGACAGCACAGGGTCTGTCCGAGCCCCCGCTTTGATCACCCAGAAAACAAGCAACAGAGGGTCCAGAGCGTCCTGTTTGGGGGGGTCAGCAGTGTGTGGGGGCTGGGGGTGGGGTCTGCACTCATAGGCAGAAACGTGGCCTTGGCCACTTGGGGAAGGAGCCCCAAGCAGGGCTGCAAGACCTGTCACTCCTGTGGCCAGAGGCAGGCCACGGGGAGGCCCCAGAGAGGTCATGGGGGGCCACAGGCTGGCCAAAAAGAGGCCACAGACAGGCTTTAAGGAACCCACGGGCTGGCCACAAGGAGGCCACGGCTGGCCCCAAGAGGTCGTGTGAGATCTTCGACCTTGTGTTGTCCGGACACAGTTTCGGAACTTCCTGGAAGCCTGGCGTGCCGTGCTCTGAGCAAGTCCATTAGCCAGAGTGGCTCCAGGTCGGGCGGCCAGTGCATGGACGGGTGGGCTGCCGCAGGCCCCTCCTCTGCAGTCTGCCAGGCTGAGGACCCCCAGGTTCAGATCACATTCAGGAGGGGGCTGGCAACAGGGCAGGGCTGAGGGGTCCCTCCCGGCCGTCGCTGGCCCCCCACCGCCACGTCCAGTTCTCCTGGGACCAGGGCCACGCCTGGCCAGCTCCATTACCGGGCCAGCTCCTAGGAGGCATCTATCCTGAGGGTGGGGCGGCCCCTCGCTGCTTTCACCCCTCAGATCCTCCTGCCTCGCCTCGAGGAAGCCTCTGGCCTCTGAGGCTCTGGCCAGGTCAGCAGAGCCGCCACCAGCAGTGGGACCTAGGGGCAGCCCACACCAACCCTGCGGCAGGACCAGGTGAGGGCCTTTCTCTGCGGGGGCGGGGGGGAGGGGACAGGTCTTGCAGCCCCCGCTCTGCTCTGCTGGGGATCTGGGGGTGCTGGGCGTGGCTCCCCTGCTTCGAGTCTGGATCTCTTCAGGGAAACGCAGAGAAGGGACAAACCACGGCACAGAGTCCCACGGTGACGTGGGCCCAGCTGGGAGCACTGGGTGCAGAGAACTTCAAGAAGCAGCGGGGCAAGGGAAGGGGGCTTCATGTGGGGGGGGCATTACTGGGGTCGAACCTGGGGCCTTGCACTCACCCACCATCTGAGCACTCCTGCCCCGCCCTGGAAAATGCTTCCTCGGGAGCACAAAGGGCCAAGGATTTCGGGGAGTGACCCCGCCCAGGGCTGAGTCTGGGGTCTCCTCCCCTGCACCACTTCCGCGGGCACATCTGCTCAGGACAGCCCCGATGTTAGCAGTTGGCGGAGTGGGGCGCGCCCAACCCACAGAGCTGGGCCGGCAGGGCCCCCCTTCACCCCCTCCACTAGGCAGCTGGAGGGAGGGTCTCCGCCTGGAGGGAGGCTTGAGCGTGGCGCAGCCCCTCCTGCCGGCGGGGGGGTGCGGGGTGGGGGCTTCTGCTCGCCTCCTCCGAGGTCAGTGCAGGTGGCAAGGAAACAGACCTCGGTGGATGCAGGTGCATGAATATCCTGGGTGGATGAGCTGGGTGGCAACGAAGTGTCCCCTCAAGGTCCTGAGGACGCTAGTCTAGACTCCGGAGTCTGTGGGCTTCTGGAAGGATCCGTGGGATGGAGCAATTAACCCCCCACCTTGCCAGGCCACGCCCAGTGAGAGCAGAGGGCAGAAGGCCATGCCCAGTGAGGGCACAGGGAGGCAGGCCACGCCCAGTGAGGGCAGAGGGCAGTAGACCACGCCCGGTGAGGGCCCAGGGAGTCAGGCCACGCCCAGTGAGGGCCCAGGGAGTCAGGCCACTCCCAGTGAGGGCCCATGAAGAGCAGGGCCCTGTTCTACTATACCAGGGTTGTTCGTTGGCCTCTTCTGGGAGTGTCCTCTAGGTCACTAGCTCCACACCATTGACAGGCATAGGGCCTGTGGGAAGAGGGTCCCCAGTGCCATGGATTCCTCCCTGAGAGTAATTTGTAGGTGGACAGTAGGGGCGGGTGGGGACAGCTGTTCTCACTGCATCTGTATAGAGGAGGGACAGGGAGAGGAGAGACAGTGATGGACACAGAGACAGAGAGATGGGGACAGAGACAGCCAGTGACAGAGAGATGGAGATGGGGACAGAGACAAAGAGACAGAGACTAAGACAGAATCAGGGACAGAGACATGATGGGGAGGCGGAGACAGGGATGGGAGGGGGGCTGGCAGGGGGTAGACCTCTGGGCTCTCTCCCTCGGCACTGACCTTTCCGACCAGGCCCCCCTCATACCCTCCCCTCTGGGCGTGCAGACAGAAACTCTCAGAGAGAAGAGAGGTAGACAGAGGGGGTCCTGCCTGAGGCCGGGGGGCTGGGGACAGGCTTAGGAGATCTGATCACTGCCCGGGTCAAAAGCACACGAGGGCCTGGAGCGATAGCACAGCAGGTAGGGCATTTGCCTTGCATGTGGCCGACCCGGGTTCGATTCCCAGCATCCCATATGGTCCCCCGAGTACCGCCAGGGGTAATTCCTGAGTGCAGAGCCAGGAGTAACCCCTGAGCATTGCCGGGTGTGACCTGAAAAGCAAAAAAAAAAAAAAAAGTACACGAGCCTAGAGCCGGACACAGAAAACTGGGCGGGTGGGGGGTTCCCAGAACTCCCCAGCGGCCTCAGAGCCCAGAACCTCACGTGGCCTCACTTCCTCCCCTAGCATGAACCAGACGGCGAATGGCAGCCAGGCCCTGGGCCCCGAGACGGACGTGCTCAACGGGGCCCTGGTGGGACTCCGGGCCCTGATCACTAGCGTCTGCGTCCTGGGCATCGCTGGCAACGGCGTGGTGGCCTGGCTGCTGGGCGCCCGCATGCCTAGGGCCCCCTACTGCGTTTACGTCCTGCACCTGGCCCTGGCCGACCTGCTCTTTCTGCTGTGCATGGTGGCCGTGCTGCAGCTGGACCCGAAGTCGCTGGCCTACGAGGCAGTGAAGCGAGTGAAGAGCACGGCGGACACGGCCAGCCTCGGCCTGCTGACGGCCATCAGCGTCCAGCGCTGCCTGTCCGTGCTCTTCCCCGTGTGGTACAAGAGCACCCGGCCACGCCACCTGTCCAGCACGGTGTGTGCACTGCTCTGGGCCCTGGCCAGCCTGGCCAACGCGCTGCTGGCCGCCCTCTGCGTCCAGTACCCGAGTCCCCACGCGCCGCTCCCCGGGGAAAAGTGTTTCCTCCTGGACTTTGCCTTCCGGTTGCTTACCCTGGGCATCTCCACGCCCCTCATGGTGCTGGCCAGCCTCATCCTCTTCCTCCACGTGCAGAAAGTGTCCCGGCGGCGGGCCCGGAGCCGACAGCCCACGCGGCTGTACTTGGTCATCCTGGCGTCCGTGCTGGCCTTCCTGGCCTGCACCCTACCCCTGGGCATCTACTGGCTCCTCATCTACCTGCTGGGTCTGTCGGAGCAGGCGAACGCCCTGATCCGACACCTGGGCCGCCTGTCCTCCTCTGCCAGCTGCAGCGTCCACCCACTCATCTATTTCCTGGTGGGCCACTGGAGGGGCCAGGGCAGGGGCCGGGCCCGACGAGAGCCTCTGAGCTCAGTGCTCCAGCGGGTATTGCGGGAGGAGCCGGAGCTGAGGCCCGAGGAGCCGCCCTCCACTGGCACCGCCTCCTCGGAGGGGCCCTGAGCGCGCCCGGCCACCCTCACTGGCCCCACCTGGGCAGCGAGAATCCCTGCCCCCTGGTCCGGGGGCAGGAGAAGGGGTTCACCTGGTCCTGGGGCTGAGTGTGACATGGACCGTCTGGCAGGTCTGTGGGGGACACAGGTCCCCCGCTCGTGGGAAAGCGCCTTCTGGAACAGCAAAGCCGCCTACTCTGGGAGGGGCTGCCAAGGGCGTCCGGGGGCCGTTCCTGGAAATCCCAGATACCAGGGTCCCGGACATCCGGACCCTCAAGGCCACTCTGGCAGTGCTGGGGTTCAGACTCGGCATCTGGCCTGGCCTGGTACCACCCACCAAGGCCACTCTGGGAGTCCTGGGGGTCCAACCCGGGTCCCCACACAAGCCAGACCTGGACCTTGCAGCCCTCTGTCCGGAAGCAGGCTATGCCGTGTGTGATCTCACGCCCCCAACAGGGAGCTGATGATGGCTGTGTCCTGCCCGGGGGGCCACAGGGGCTCAGCTCTCACTGGCTACTCCTGGGCTCCACGTGGCCCCTGTTCCTTCAGGACCGAACAGGGCACGTGTGCAGGATGGCTGGTTCTCATGCATCTCGAATCCCTGCCACCCCTTCCACTACCCCCATACCCACTGCCCTCCGTCGCGGGTCCCTGCTGCCAGAGGCCACGGTGGGGAAGCTGGGCCGGCATCTGCTCAGTTCGGGTTCAGCATTGTTACGGAACCGCGGCGGCCCAGTCTGGTCCACGGAGTCCTGGACCTCCTGATCCAGGAGCACCCAAGCCAGAGGCTGCTCTCGGGACACTCCCAGGAGGACCTAAGACCCGCAGGTGGCCGCACCATGCCAGTGGCGACTCGGGGGTGGCTGCTTGTGGGTTCATCTGGGTGGCTCCCCCTCAGGAGAGCATGTGACCACAGGGGCCACCGCCAGGCCCTTGAGTCCTGCCATCAGAATCCAGAGGTCAAGACTTGGAAATCTAGGGCCGGGGAGATGCCACGAAGCTCTGGGCACACGCTCTGGGCAGGGGCCCCAGTTCTACCTGGGCACCCCAGGGTCATGACACCCAGCAAGCCGGGAGCAGACGCTGAGCACGGGGTGCGGCCCCCAAACAACAGCACAGAGACGCCAAGAGCTCACCTTCAACCCGAACCCGGGGCCCAGAGATATACAGCAGAGAAGAAGGACTGGCTTGCTTATATGTGGAAGACCTAGGTTTGACGCCCCGTGCCCAAATGACCCCCGAGTCCAGCCAGATGCCTGACGACAGAGCGAGGAGTGTGGGTGTGGCCCAAATACAAAACCAAAATACTGAGCTTGGAAGAAAAATATGGGTATCATAAACTATAGAATGGTCCCAGTTTTGAAAGTTTTCTAGAAGCTTATTTTTTTGTTCTGGGGAGTGGGGGTGGCGAGCACAGAGCCCGCCTGGACAGACCAGCCCCTCAGCCTGGCGACTGGAAGCCCACACAAAGAGCTTCTCTTCCTGAGCTCTGCCTTAATCCTGAAAGAATCCTTGTTTCGGGGTGGGGGTTGAGCCACAGCTGGCGATGCTGGGGGTCCAGGCTGTGTGGGGACTCAACCAAGGGTCCTGTTTGCCATGTGAGTGTGCTTGAGCCCCTGCACACTTGGTCCAGGCGCCCCCTCCTTTGTTCTGAGCTGGGAGTCTAAGGCTGGTCCTGGAGGCAGTAAAGCCCCCAGAGCTCTCTGGGGCACCTGTGGGTGGGCACATGGCCTGAGGGGCTGCCACATACAACGGACACGCTGACCTGACCCCAGCCGGCCACTGTTTGCGGGAGCCGCCGCAGCTGTGAGCCAAGCAGGCACTGGGGGGAGCTTTCAGAAGCTCCAGGGAGGGCGTATGTGTGGCCCCGCCCCTGGGAGGGCCTATGTGTGGCCCCGCCCCTGGGAGGGCCTAGATATGGACCCGCCCCTGGGTGGGCCTATGGTGTGGACCCGCCCCTGGGAGGGTCTATGTTGGCCCCGCCCCTGGGAGGGACTATGTATGGCCCCGCCCCTGGGAGGGACTATGGTGTGGACCCGCCCCTGGGAGGGTCTATGTTGGCCCCGCCCCTGGGAGGGACTATGTATGGCCCCGCCCCTGGGAGGGCCTATGGTGTGGACCCGCCCCTGGGAGGGTCTATGTTGGCCCCGCCCCTGGGAGGGACTATGTATGGCCCCGCCCCTGGGAGGGCCTAGATATGGACCCGCCCCTGGGCGGGCCTATGGTGTGGACCCGCCCCTGGGAGGGTCTATGTTGGCCCCGCCCCTGGGAGGGACTATGTATGGCCCCGCCCCTGGGAGGGCCTATGGTGTGGACCCGCCCCTGGGAGGGTCTATGTTGGCCCCGCCCCTGGGAGGGACTATGTATGGCCCCGCCCCTGGGAGGGCCTATGGTGTGGCTCCGCCCCTGGGAGGGTCTGTTGTGTGGCCCCTCCCCTGGGCAGGGTCTGGCATATTGTGATTTTTTTCCTGGTTGAAGAGGTACCCAGGGCTCGGTACTGATGGGTCCCCCCAACCCTCCTGCCCCTGGACAGAGCCCGGTGGATGGGGCTGAGGGGCGGGACCCCCCATGGTCTTTGCTGGCAGACACAGGCATTTGGAGGTCGGGCTTGGAGGAGGGCTTCTCAGCGGAGAGTCCCCCTGACAGGGAGCCCTCAGTCTTTGCTGGGGGCCATGGGAGGGTCTGAGAGGACACAGAAAGGAGGGGCCCGCCATGGCCCCCAACACCCTCGGCACCGCCCAGTCCCTGAGCCTGAGACTGCGAAGCTGGACACACTCAAAGGGGCTGGCCAGGAGCGGGTGGACGGACCCACTCCTGTTCTAAAGGGCCTGCAGGGGGTTCTCCCTGGGTTGTTAGGAGCTCAGTTTGGGGGCTCACCTGGCAGTGCTCGCTCAGGAGATCCTATGGGCTGCAGGGGATCAAACCCGGGTTAGCCACGTGCTGGACAAGTGCCCTCCCCGCTGTGCTCTCACTCTGGGCCCAGAGCTCCCCCTTCGGGTGTTTTCCTGGGTGGGTCACCTGAAGGGGCTCGGACCCCCCGCCCCCAGGGAAGGACGGGGCCACTGCAGCCTGCCCCACCTGAGCGCTGCTGACCTGGGGCGGGGGCTGTGGAGTGGAGGGTCTCTGCCGTCTCGGGGGCCTGGGTCTGGGACTCTCTCCCAGCCTCTGGGGTGCTGATCAGACCCCTCAAAGACTCCAGGGAAGAGCCGGGAGAGGGTGCTCCCCAAGTCACTGGGAGCACTCGGATGCACTGGAGAGGGGTCCCTGACCCAACTCCAAGGAACCCCAACCCTGCACGACAAAACAGTGAATGGCGAGGCCCGCGCAGGGTTAAGGAGCAGGGCCAGGCGCAGTCCGGAGGTGTGGGGCGCGCTCTTCCTTCCAACTGTTCCAGAAGGATCTGCACCCATCTGGCTCTGGGGTGGAATGAATTCCAGAGGCCTGGCGCTGCCGAGAGGCAGGGATGAAAGCCAGGGCCTTGGGGCGTGATCAGGGGTGAGGGCCGGCCACCACCCAGCCTCTATGCCCTCTGGGGCAGACACTTTGCAAAAGGGGCTCATGGCACCCCCAAACTGGCCCTCTGCGCCCCCAAATGTCCCCACGCCTGCAGGGAGCTAGGAGTCAGGCTGAGGCAGCGTGAACCCCCAGACCTGGGAGGAACAGCAAGGACGTGGCACTCCGGGGCCTCACCCTGAGTCACGGACTGACCACGAGGCCGGCCGACCCCGCCCAGAAGGGGTGGACAGAGTGTCCTGGATGCCCCACTCCTGACTCCGCCAAGCACGGGAGTCAGATTGCGGGGTGCAGGACCCCAACTCCAGACACACAAGGACACCTCCCCCTCTTCGTTGTCAGGGTTGTCATCGTGGGCCGCCAGAGCCGTGGTGTTCCAGCACATTCCGTCCCAGGCTCATGGGGCTGTGCCATCAGCCTGGTGCTTACAAGGCCCCACCCTCAGGTGGCTCCCACTCACGGGGTCACGAGGTCATGAGGTCACACCATCAATGCAGTGCTCATTCATAGGCCTGGGGGTCATGAGGGCATGGGGATCATGGGGTCACAGGTCAAACTCTTGCGGGTTCTGTTGGTGTGCCAAAGGCTCCCCTCGACAGGGCAGCGAGGACCGTGCCCAGCAAACGTGGGTGGCACCAAGGAGAGAATTCGGGTCCTCATGCTCCCCAGCAGGGCTCTGCCTGGCTCCCTGTCCTGCGTCTGCACCCTGTCCCCGTGTCTGCGTCCTGTCCCCGCGTCTGCATCCTGCACCCCAGTGAGCCAGGAGCCGAGTTTGAGCCTCTGTTGTGTTGCCTGGGAAACGGGCAGCTTTGCCCGATGAGTCAGTGGCTGGAGCGCTCTGGGCTCGGAGCGGGAAGGTGGCACTGCTCCAGCCCCGGCACCCGCTTACTGCCAGACCAGAGACCCATGGTGCCCAGCCTGGCGGCTTCTGGAAGGAAAGCTGCCTCCTCGCTCCGTTTCTCCGACCTGTTCAGGGGGCCGGGGGGGACCCGGGCCTGCACCTGCCATAGCTGTGTGACCACAGTCTCTGTCCCACTGTGGGCTGCCAGCCAGGGCAGGGATCAGGGGTCCCCCGGGGACTTGACCCCCATGCCCCCTGCCACCCCAGCTTGACTGAGGTGAGCACACAGTGTGACGGGCACAGGAGGGCTTGTTCCGGCTTGGGGGGCCCAGGCTGAGACCTACAGCTTCCCACATCACAGGGGACCCCTCCCAGGACACTCAGGAGACACCACATGGCCCCTGGGGCTCCCCCGAATTCCTTCAGTGGCATGTCCACAGCCTCTGGGGTTGAGGACAGAACACAGAAGGGAGCAGAGCAGAGACACGGCACTGCGGGGGTTGGGGGGCGCTGGCCTTGCACACAGTCACCCCAGGGGGCATCCCCAGCACTGCATAGGGTCCCCTGAGCACAGAGCCAGGAGTCAGCCCTAAGCACTGCTGGGTGTGACCCCGCAAAAGGAATAGGTGTGATTGCTAGAGGCAAGCCCAGATTCAAGCTCTGAGGGATGGAGCTTGTGTATGGCCTGGTTAGTACCCCAAGTTTGAGGCTGTGCACTGCATGGTCCCCAAGCAGCACTTGGGGTGCTGATGGGGCCCCAGGGCCTGTGGGGTCTGAGAAGCATCGTACCACCAGGCTTCAGCCTCGAGCAGCCCAGCCTGGCTGCATATCACTGAGGGAAGCCCAGGGCCCCCCAGTTAGAGGTTGGACCCCAAGCCACAGTGCTGGGTGCTTGCCTTGCCTGCGTGAGACCCCAATTTCATCCCTGGCCCCTGGTATAATGCTCCAAGCCCCTTTGGGAAGGATGCCTGAGCACAGAGCGCTGAGCACTGCCAGGTGTGCCCCCCCCCAAAGAAGGATGGACCATAGAGCGATTCCCTGTCTAGTTCAGTGGTGGTCCCGTCCCAGACACCCAAACCTCACCACACACACAGCCAGCCCTCCTCAGAGTGGTCACAGTTGGTACACAAGTCCTGCTACGCAGAACACACGCGGGGTCCAGCCCCAACTCTCCCTGCCGGAAGTCTAGCCCGCACCCCCACAGGGGACCACGTGGTCCATGTTGGAGATGTGAGCAGCTGGGTCCAGGGTCACTCGGGGGCCACTCTGGGGACTCCAAGAGTGGCAGAGACACTTAAGGACAGTGGGGGAGACATGGTCGACAGAACGGGGGTCCCGGGACATTGTGCGGGGTTCACCTCTGAGCCTTGAGCGCTTCCCACGGTTCATGAAACAACACCGAGCTTGACCGCCCCAAGAAGACCTGCTCACCACGTTGGAACCACAGTGCAGCAGGGAGGGCATTTGGACGGCACACGACTGACCTGGGTTCCATCCCCGGCATCCCACAAGGTCGCCTGAGCACGGCCAGGAGTGATCCCTGAGCACAGAGGCAGCAGGAACCCTGAAGCATTGCCGGGTGTGACCCCAAAACAACAACAACAAAAGATCTGCTTCTGAGCGAGGAACACCCCCCCCCCCACACACACACACACACAGTTTACTTGTAGATTTTCCCGCAGGAACTAAGGAACCAAGGGGCTGTGTGGGAACACCCAGAAGTAAAGGTTGGTTTGATCTGCACCAATCCAGTGGCCTGCACGGGTCTCCACGCCTGGAGCCAGAGAGGAAGCGTGGGACACCCCAACACCCCCATGACAGAGGGAAAGATGGGCAGGAAGAAACCGGAGCCGAGCGCGGCCACCGGCACATCCCTGTGGGGACGGGGACACGCGCCGTTCTCTCCCTGAGGTCACTGGGCGCGCCTGGGGGGGGGGGTGCGGGAGACCCCGGGATGAAAAATCCGCAAAGCCCTGCGACGTGGTGGGGGCGGGGATTCCGGATAAAGGGGTTCCCGTGGGGCTCGTGGACTAAGGGGTTCCTGTGGGAGTCGTGGACGTTCGGCCAGTGGAGTGGTGGGAGGCTGCTGACATCAGCGGCGGGACGGCCCTCCCACCGTGGACGTGGACTTGGCCCTCCTGGAGCAGCCGCCACTTTCTTGCTTGGCTTTTCCTCTGAGCAGAGAAGTTTCCAGACCAAATAAGGTGGCAGCATTTTCAAAACTCCTGGCACAGAACCGGACTCCTTTGAAGCGCCAGGTTGGAGCTCGGGTGTAAAGGGGGCCCCTCCGCCCGCTCGGATGCCCTGGCTGGGGGCCGGGGGCCGCACCCCGCGGATCTGCTGGGCAGAGCGACGGTCTGGCTGAGCCCCTCACGCCCTCTGGCCCGGGGCACCCCGCCTGGGCCTGGACCCAGAAAGGCTGTGACTGACCCTCCCCGGGGCCCTAGAGCATCGGGCCTCACCACAGCCCACCCGAGCAGAGAAACTGAGGCCCGGGGACATGGAGGGGAGCAGGCCTGGGGCGGGGGGGGGGCTGCCTAGCTCCCATGGGCGTTGAAACACGCCAGCCCGCGTTGCATAGGCTCTTGCTGGGTTGCCCAGGGGCAGGGAGGCAGGGAGGAGCGTGGCTTTGGGGCACAGTGGGGGCTCCGTTGGGGGCGCTGGCTTGAGGACGGAGAGGCTGAGGCGTCACAGGCCCTGGCCCACGGACACCACTCCTCCTGCCCCCCTCACACCCTCCACCTCTTCTCTGCCTGGAGCCTTGGCGGGTGCCACAGTCACGGGCAAGGCAGGATTCTCTCGGCGAGTCAACACCCCAACCCCGCACAGCCTGCGTGGGGCAGGGGTTCACCCCAAGAACAGAGGTGGGCACCCCCAGATAAAGAGTGATCCTTATAACCGCAGTGACAGAAACCTGAGGCTGGCTCTCGCCACCTGCAGGTGGATTCGCTCAGGACGCTGGGATGAACGGGGAGGCGTCAGGTGCGACTAGTTCCAGGGGCTGGGGAGAACAGGGAGGCGTCAGGTGTGGCTGCATCCAGGATTCTGTCACCAGGAGCCGTGGGGGGTGGCTACGGGTCCCCCTGAAAGCAAAGCAGGTCTTTCTTCCAGCACCCATGAGGACCCCCATGGAAACCCATGGCCCTGTGGACACCAGCCAGCATGCTCCTGGATGCATGGGGTGGGCAAGAGCTTCCTCGCCCCTGATGGCCCCCGGATTATGCTTATGACCCCAAATGCACTTTCACCCAGCAGGCACCAGGTGACCCACCCACCGTGGCCCTTCCCGCTGACATCCAGGCCCTCTGCATGAGGCGCGTGAGGGGCAGCGGCGCTGGCAGGGCGAGGTGGGCACTGCGCGTCTACACTGTTTATTTGGTTGTTGGCTAGCCGAGATGCCAGCGACAGACACAAGCCCGAGGCTGGGCTGGCGCGTGTCCACTTGTGTTTCTGAGGGGCCCGGGAAGGGACGGCTCCTCCTCAGGCCGTTGGTGGACCAAGGCAGTGACCACTGGGCGGGGGAGGCACAGCGACAGGGCGGGATGCAGGCCCCTGTCCTAATTGGCCAGGTGGACCTGGGGTCGCCCCTTCACCCGGGTGCCGGGCGGGCGCGTCCAGCGGCCACCTCACTTCCGGTCCTTCCTGCGGCTCTGCCTCTGGCTGCTCAGCTCGTCCAGCCTCCGATCCAGCTTCCGCTGCAGCTGCGCGCGCTTGGCGGCATCCAGGCCGCGCTCCCGGGGCCCGCTGCCGGGGTACAAGACCCCCTCCCGGCTGATCCGCTGCCGGGCGTGGGCGCGCGCCCGCTCCCCGCAGCCGTGGACCTGGGGGGACATGGCACTCAGTGCTCGGCCCACGTGGGGCCCCCTCCGGGCAGGCCGTGCTCCTTCCGGTGCAGTCACAGAGGAGCTGGGCGGCCAAGAGACCCTTAGACGTGCTCACGGCCACAGCCACTGGCCTAATTCCCTTCCACAGGGGGGCTCCGCCCACACCACAGCCACAGCCGGACAAGGCCAGCCACTCCCCTCTAATGGCCAGGCCTGTCTCATCAGCCCCGACTGCCCCCGCCCCCAGGGCCCCTTCCTCCAGGCAGCCAGCCGGGCTTGGCCCTGGGCGTTCAGGCCGTGTCTGCCGGCTGGTCATCCATCAGGGCCCCGGATTCTGCTCCCCAGGCCCCAGCTCTGGGCGAGAGGGGACCTGGGGAGGGCAGCGGCGGCGGTCCAGCCCACGTGGGTCCTGGTGGGGACGGGGGGCAGCTGGGGCTGCGTCCTGGCACTACCTCGGGCAGGTGGTGGCTGAGGCAGTAGCGGCGGCTGCAGTGGACGCACAGCTGGCCCAGGGTCACCACGCTGGCCGTGCAGCTGGGCATCCCGCATGTGCTGTCGGCCTTCACGGCCGCTGAGATCAGCGCGTCAAAGTCGTCCCCGCTGGGCAGCTCCGGGGCCACGGGACCTGCAGGGAGGGAGAGTCGGGTGAGCGCGGGGGGTCTGCAGGGAGCCTGGGAACCCCACCTGGTGCTGGGGGCACCCCTGGTGTCTGCGGGAGGGCCGGGTGGGCAGAGGAAGCTGCAGTCTTGGGCACTGCAGGTCGCACCATCGTGGAGCTCACGACCCTGCGAGTTGGGCTGCGGGCGGGGCCCCGAGACAGGGTTCCCCAGGGTGGTCAGGTGCACGGGGCACAAAAGCCGGCCCGGGGCGGGGGGTCAGCTCGGAAGGATGGACGTGGGACCTGAGCCCCAGCCACCGGCAAGCACTGGGAGGAAGATGGGGCCGGCTGGGGGGTCTGAGCCCGGGCAGGGAGGGCACGTGAGCCCAAGGGTGGCCCAGGCGCTAGACAACGGATCAGGGTTGCTGAGAGCATGGGCACCCTCGGCCGGGGCCCCCCACCCGTCCTGACCCCACCACTCATCAGGCCGGGAGCACTGGTGGCCCCCGGAAGTGGGCCGGAGCACGGGCCAGGGCTGCCTCGGCTGCTGGGAAGGGCAGCTGGACTCGGGGCCAGGGAGAGGCCATGAACCCCCTGGGCAGGAGGTTCCCCGAGACACACCCCGGGGTTCAGGCGGGGGCACCCCCTCACGGCTTTCCCTTCACAAGGTTTAAGCTCTTGTTCTATGGGTTTGGGTTTGGGGGCCATGCCCGGTGGTCGGGGGGCGACCTCCTGGTCGGTGCTGGGGGGGGGGCCCTGCACAGCCTGTGCTCACCCCCCCCCACCCGTCTGCCCAAGTCCCACCCCGGCACTTCAGAGGGGCCCAAGGGGCTTTCACTCCCCAGGTCGCCAGACACGGCATTCCTGCCACCGTGTGGGCTGATGTGTCGCAGGCCCAGAAGGGAGGCCTGGGTCACCAGGGGTCAGCGCCGCTCTCGGGAGCGAGGCTGTGTGTGGTCACACCCGGGGAAGGCCCGGGCTGGGCGCAGAGCCGAGAGGCCCCTCACCCCGGCCCTGCCCTGAGGGTGGGCCAGACCCTGCCCCCAGGGGGCACTTGCTTACCCTTGGGTTCTTTCTTCTTGCTCTTTTGGGGGGCCTTGCGTGCCCCCTCCCTGGCCGGCAGCTCCTGCCGGCCGCGCGCCCTCTGCAGTCTCTCCTGGTGCAGTGCCTTCAGGTCGAGCGGGGCCGGCCCAGGGCCTCTGGCCCCCGCACCTGGGGACTCAGCCTCAGCCGGGCTGGGGGGGGTGGGGCTGGTGGGGATGGCGGGGGGCGCGGGGCTGGTGGGGGCGGCAGCGGGCCTGAGGCTGGTGGGGGCGGCGGGGATCGCGGGGTTGGCGGGGATCACGGGGCCGGCGGGGGTCACGGGGTTGGCGGGGCCGGAGGGGATCGCGGGGTTGGTGGGGGTCGCGGGGTTGGCGGGGGTTGCGGGGCCGGTGGTCGCCCGCTTGCTGACGGTGATAAAGCGCTGTGCACCCTCCCCGCTGCTGTCGTGCCGCAGGCCCAACTCCTCGGCCAGCTGGTGGACGCGCAGCCGGTCCAGGGGGCTCAGCGTGGCGGGGAAGGGCAGCTGCGTCTGCTCGCTGGCCACGAAGGCCAGCAGCTGGGCCCGGAAGCCTTCGGCGCCGTCGCCGTCGAGGCTGGGCTGAGTCCGAGACGGGGCCCCGGGGCCCGGCTTCTTCCGCTCCTGCCTGGCTCCCGCTGGGGCCCCCGGCTCGGGCCGCCTCCTGCAGGCAGGCTTCCCGGATGCCACAGCACCGCGCCGGGTGCCCCGCTGGCCGGGGGCCTGGGCCGGCTGGTGGGAGTAGTTTTCGGGGACAAGGTCGTCCAGGTACTCGAAGGCTGTGCGCACCTCCCCGTGCTCGGCGAAATGGTCGAGGAGGCGCCGGAGGAAGGGGTGCTGGCCGGCCGTGTGCGAGTCGCAGATCAGGGCCACGTGGCGCCGGGCGCGGGTGACGGCCACGTTGAGGCGCCGGTCCTCGGCGAGGAAGCCCACCTCGCCTGCAGGGTGGGCGCGAATGAGCGGGAGGGAGGCTGGGGGGTCCCACCGCCCCCCACCCGGGACTCCTCCCATGCCCCACCGGCCTCTGGAGCAGCACGCCCGCCGCACCTGTCCTGTTGGACCGGACCAGGGACAGGACTACGGCCTCCTTCTCCCGGCCCTGGAAGCCGTCCACCGACTTGATCTCCAGCTCGGGGTGCCGGGCCGCCAGGCTCTGGCGCAGGAGGTCCACCTGGAAGAGCAGCCTCAGAGCCCACCCGAGCCCAGCACCAGGAGCCAGTCCCCGCCCAGAGCCCGCTAGGGGGGTGCCAGGGGGCAGCAGGTCCATGGCTGGTCCCTGAGACCACACTGAGCCCCCCAATCCCTATCGAGGCCACGTGTGGAGTGACCCCAGGAGCGCCAATGAGCAGAGGACGGCCTCAGGGAGGGATGGGGGGAGGGCTGGGCCGGGCCAAAGGCAGAGCCAGCGGGGCGGACAGACAGACCGGCGGGTGGACAGAGAGGCGCAATGGAAAGATGGATGGATGGGCAAACAGGTAGGGGGACGGACAGGCGAACGGACAGGTGGGAGGATGGACAGGCAGATGGACAGGTGAGGCAGATAGGAGGAAAGATGAGCAGACAGGTGGGAAGAGGGACAGACAGGTGGACAGGTGAGGGGGGGACAGACAGGAGCGGGCGGGGTGGGGGAAACGGCCAGATTTGTTTGGGTGCTGGAACCAGCTGGATGTGGCAGGTTCGACCCGGGTATTTTCGGGGCCAAGAGCCAATCGGGCCCCCTCGGTGCTCAGCCCTCCCAGGCTGGGGGTTCCCTGTGCCCCAACGCACCTGGCGGTGGTACGGCGTGATGACGGCTATGTCCCGCGGCTGGACCCTGGCGTCCACCAGGGCCTGAACGTGCAAGTCCACCAGGCGCACCTCACCTGCGGGGCAGGAGGGGCTGGGTTTCAGGTGACTGGGCGCCCTCCACGCCACGCAGCCCCGTCTCAGGATGCTGCTTTGGGGCCAGAGGCCAAAGGGCCGGAGCGGCTAATGCCCTCGGCCCCTCAAATCAGGCTGCCCCCGCCCACCCGCACGGTGCGGTGCCAGCGCTCACCAGGGTTGCCTCTGGACTGCTCGTCGTCCTCGTCCAGCTCCAGCAGCCCGCAGCCGGCCGTGTCCACTAGCAGCAGGGCCAGGCCCGTCTCCTCCGTGGTGGCCACACCTGGGAGGTCACTGCATGCAGGTGAGGCGGCATGAGAGGCCCAGCCCGAATCCCGCCCCGGGGCAGCCCGTCTGGGGAAGGGGCGCGGCCGGAGTCGCTCACCGCAGGAGGTGGCCGGCCACGGAGGGGTGTGCGGTGAGCTGGCCGCCGTAGAGCGCGTCGGAGGCCCAGCGCATGATGGCCCCGTGCATGCGGTACTGCGTCGTCAGCATCCGGACCGCTGCGGCCCCGTGCGCCTCGGCCAGCCGCTCCATGAGGCTGAGGGACAGCCCCGCCTGCGCCGCCCTGCACCGGAGGGAGGCCTGAGCAGCCCCGCCTCCAAGGCCCGCTCGGACCCCATACCAGAGGCTTGGGCCGTGGCCCAGCAGATGCGCGCAGGAGGAGACTCTGGCTGGGGAGACTGTCTGGATGTCCCAGTGACCCTGCATCAGGCAGGTCCACTCAGGTCAGATGGGAGAGGCCAGCAGCTCAGGGATGTGGGTGTCTCCCGGAGCTGAATGGCAGAGAACCCCCCAGGGGAAACCTCCAGAAGGGACTCAGGCCACGGCACCCACAACTAAAACCACGGCGTGAGCAGCTCTGGGATCAGGCGTCCGCGGGGAGAGATTGTTTGGTGGCAGCAGCCGGCCCGTGGGCACCCCGACCTCCAGACGCTCATGAAGTCCCTCAACACAGCACGCCTGGAAACGCCCGTGCCCAGCTGTCAGTCGGGGCTGCCCCGACACCAGCTGCAGTGCCAGGAGCTGGCCAGGCTGCAGAGTCCCGGGCGCCAGGTGGATGGGTCCACTTGGGGCTGGGAGAAGGCTGAGGCCCCTGTCCCCCGCCCTCGCGATGCCTCATTTAACTGGAGGATGAGCCCAGGGACACGGCGCCCCTGCTGGAGTGACAGCTCAGCAGGGAAGGAACTGTGACCCGTTCCCCCCCCAGCCACATGAGACCTGGGGGATGAGACTGGGCTGGGTGGGGCCAGGACCAGTGTGGGGTCATGAGCTCAGGCCTGCCACAGCCCTGCAGCTGAGGACGGAGCTGCTGGGTGGCACCTACCAAGGGGCACCCCAGCTGGGTGCACTATGAGGGCGCCCCAGGGGTCCCACTGGGGGAAGGAGCAGAGCAGCCCGCCTGCTGGGGGGTGCTGGAGGACCAGGGCCTCGCACCCCAACCTCCACGAGCCCAATCTAGGCTCTGGCACCAGAGGGCCGAGCATGCCCATCGAGCAGGTGCACCCATGGGGAGGCACAGTGACGGGAAGGGCAGAAGACAGGACTGCGAGGACAGCGGATGGGCGGGGGCAGAGGCCCCCCAAGGCGACAGTGGGTGGGGAGAGGGCGGGGCCGAGACAGTGGACAGGACTGAGGATCTGTGAGCCGACCGTGGGCGGCAAGACTGAAGGCGGAGCTGAGTGGGCGGGCCTGAGAGCGGAGCTGTTATAGGAAGTGGGCGGGTCCGAGAACCTGGGGTGGGCGGGGCCACGGGCAGGGCCACGATACAGCACACGGGAGGGCGGAGTTGTGGTAGTGGGAGGGGCCAAGGGCCTGGCTGTGAGTGGGCGGGGCCAAGGGACCATGAGAGGGTGGGCGGCGCCAAGGGTGGAGTTGTGGTTGGCAGTGGGCGGGGTCGCGGGCCTGGGGTGGGCAGGACCATGGGCCACGACACAGCACGTGGGCCTGAGGGCCTCTGTGACTGGGCGGGAACGAGGGTGGAGTTGTGGTTCATAGTGGGAGGGGCCAAGGGCCTGCCTGCGAGTGGGCGGGGCCAGGGGGACAGTGAGGCGGTGGGCGGGGCCAAGGCAGAGTTGTGGCAGGCGGTGGGCGGGGCCCGAGATGGTGGGCGGGGCCGCGGACGTACTTGTGAGAGACCACAGTGGGCGGCAGCTGCTTGTGGTCCCCGGCCAGGACGCACTTCCTGGCCTGCAGCAGGGGGATCCAGCAGCTGGCTTCCAGGGCCTGGGCGCACTCGTCGATGACGACCAAGTCGAAGTGACCCTCGGGCAGCAGCTTCAGGGGGCCGTCAGGGGAAGCCCCTGCAGGAATCGGAGCCCGCGGTCGTCAGGCGGCGCAGGGGGCAGCCCCCCTCCTCAGCGCCCCCTGGACCGCCGGGCCGCGGCCCCCTAAACAAAAGCAGCTGAAAATAACAGAAGAGCTCGCGCGCCCACCCAGGCAGACGCTCCCCGGAAGCCCGCTGGGTGGGGGATGCACCCTCCACCCCGGGCATCCCCGGAGCTCCCGTCGCGGTGAGGGCGCTCTCACCGGTGTTGGTGGCCAGGACCACGTCCGCCGCCCTCAGGCTGTCCAGCACGGCCGCCTCCTCGCGCTCCCGCAGCTCCCGCCGCAGCAGCCGCAGCTCCCCGCGCAGGCCGTGCCTCTCCCGCGCGTCGCGCGCGCTCCTGCTGCCCGCCTGCGGGGGGCGCCAGAGACACGCCCTGGGGTCCGCGCGGGCCAGGCTGCTGCGGGACCCCGCGACCCGGCCACGCACGCGGCCCGCCCCCTCCTCCCCGGAGACTGACACTCGCCCGCCCGCCCGGTGGCCGGGCCGGCGGGGGGTCGGGGGATGGAGGGGGGGGATGCGGGCCCTACCAGCACCCGGTCGATGTCCTGGCGGATGTCGGCCACGATGCGGGCGTGGTCGGCGCGGGCCAGCACCGCGTCCAGGCAGTGCTGCTGGATGGAGTCCAGGAGGCGGGCCGGGTGCCCGAGGCGCAGCAGCCGCAGCGGGCCGCGCGCCAGCCGCTCCACGAGGTTGTCCACGGCCACGTTGGAGGGCGCGCAGCACAGGACCTGCAGGGGCGGGTGGGCAGGTTCCGGCCTGTCCGAGAACGAGGCCGCTTGTGGCCCTCAGGCAGACAGAGGTGCCCCGGAGCAGCGAGGCTGGCTGGACTCACGGGGCCTGGCCCCAGGACCAACAAGGGGACAACCGACACCCCGGCCAGTACTGCCCCCGCCTGGCAGGGCAGCGCCAAGGACTCACCCATGAATCTATGCTCTCAGCACTGCAGTGCAGGGCCCAGGGGAAGGCAGGGGCAGTGGTGGCCGGCATGCATAGGGACCTTCCTGCACCTGGCCGGGATGCCCTGTCCTGCCACCAGCTCTGCTCTGGCCAGAGGACAGGGTCCCTGCCGCCCCCTAGGGCGTGTCTGCAAGCTCAGCACCAGGCCCCATGGCATTCGGCCTCTGGGACTGGGGTCCCACACACATTTGGCCCCAGGACCCAGTGGTCCTGCTCCACAGGAAGCACCCCAGAAATGTGACCTGCAGATGGGCTCAGACTGGTGTTCCCAAAGCGTTTACCAGCTGTGACACATCTCCTGTGCTGCAGGACCCCTGGCGTCACCAGGTGAGGCCTGGTCGTCCTGGCAATGCAGCCCACGAGGATCGTGGCCTCGGACCCCAGCACCAAACATCTTGCACAGAGGGCCGAGACCCACAGGACTGGCCGCTAGGTTCCCTGCACCCCCTCAGGAGGGTTCCCGCCCCGCCAAAACACCCAATATAAACAATAATGTGCAATATTATGGCATGTCCTGGGAGTCCCGAGTTGGGCACTGGGGCCAGAATGTGGAGCCTGGAGGCCCCAGCCTTCAGGGCACACCCAGGTCCTGGGAGCGCTTGGAACTTCCACATCTGGCCCGGGGCTGCAGGTCGGGGTGGGTGGCCTGGGTCCCCAGCTGCTGCACTCCAGAGGTCTCGGGACCCTTCTTGGCACAGAACCACCTCCAAGCCCCGAGCTGCTGCCAACCGCCAGAGTGGGCCTGGCCTATGGCTCCGTGCGGAGATGCCAGATCGCGCCGGGGCTGGGCCACGCGTGCCACCCTCCGGGACCCACCTTCAGGCCCTGCTTGACCGCCTGCTGGATGATCTCCACCACCGTGGTGGTCTTCCCCGTGCCAGGGGGCCCGTGGATGATGGCCAGCTCCTTCTGCGACAGGGCAAAGCGAACGGCTTCCTGCTGCGAGGCGTCCAGGGAGGCGTTTCCAAGGGTCAGTGGGGCTGCAGGGAAGGTGTGGGGGTGAGGCGGGGGGAGAGGGTCCCCCTGCAGCCCGCAGAGCGTGGCGGCTCTGTGGAGAGCAGAAGGCCAGCGACGTCTCACACCCGCCCCAAACGCTCTCCTGGGAGTGCGCCGGCCCTGTGCGGGGCACGGCTGCTTCCAGAACAGATCTGACTGAGGTCACGTGAGCCTCTGCTGGGGGGTCCCTCCCCGAAGCCAGGGGTGACCCAGAGGAACTGCTGGTCACTGCAGGCTCCTGTGGCAAGACAGAGATGCTCTGAAAGCAGCCGTGGGCCAGGGTCGTGGGCAAGGGCGAGGGCCGCTGAGGTGACGGGGAGGGGTACCCTCTCCCCCCGCCCCAACTGTCCAGACAGCAGAGAGAGGCCACTGATGGAACCTTTCCGCTGCTGCTCCGTTTCCGGGTGGAACCCAGAGCTCGGTCAGGCACAAGCCGCTCCCGGGAGGCTTCTCAGGCTTGGACAGATGCCCTGGTTTGCTGACCACCCCCAGGCGCTGTGCTAACCCAGGGTCAGCAGGAGGGGACACTGCTGGACAAGATTCAGGGGCAGGGAAGACCAAGAAAGTTCCAGAACACGTCAGTGTCCTGTCCGAGAGCCACTGTGTGGTCCATGCCTGTATGAGTGTGCATATATGTGTGTGGGGCCGAGCCTGTGTGTGTGTGTGCATGGGTGAGCGCATGTATGCATGTGACTGTATCTGTGAGCATGGAGCACACATATGCATGTGTGTGGCCATGTATGTGCGTGCATCTGTGTGTACATGTGACTGTATACACAAGCGCGCACATGTATGTATGCTTGTGATAGCATGTGTGCATGTATTTGACTGAGCGTATATGTGAGTGTGTGAAAGCGTGAGAGTGAGTGGTTGTGCATGTGTGTACACATGTGTGGACACAGTTCCCTGTGTGGAAGGAGAGAGGCGGCCGCGCCTCGAGTTCTGTCCCGAGTTTCTCTGAGGCTCTAGTCCCGAGGTCCTGTGCACGAGCCGTCTCACATGTGTAGACCAGAGAGGGGTCGCGTTACGCCCAGAGACGAGAGACCGCCAGCACCAGGACTATGGGCTGTCGCCTGTTTTCAGAGCCCACGGGGCTAGAGAACTCCTGTCTCAGGGCACAGGGGGAGCCAGCAGGGGGCCCCGTGGGAGAGGGCCCAGCCCCTGCTCCACAGAGACCGCGGTGCCCACAGCACCCCGCAGACCCACGCTCCCACCGGCCCGTGCTTACAGAGCTCGCCGGAGGAGCTGGGCGCTGACCCCCCAAAGAGGACGTCGATGAGCGAGGAGGCGGGGCCGGAGTGACACTTCCTCAGGGCGATGAGGGCTCTGCACGGAGAGAGGGCGGGGAGGCTGGGGCACCAGCGAAGGCCCCTGCACCCACAGTCCCCGGGACCCCGGAGCTCGAGGGCAGCGCCAGGAGCCACTCCGAGGGAGGCTGGCCGGGTCCTCCGGGGACTTCCAGCCCACGCACTTACTTCTTCAGTCGCCGGTAGGTGACGTCATTGGCCAGTTTCAGCAGGCGGTAGCTGTGCTCTTGGTCACAGCTCAGCTGGAAGTCCTGGGACTCGTCAAAGGCCACGGTGACGCACCTCGAGGTGATGCGGGTCAGGGTCCCCGTGGCCAGCGGGCTGTCCCCCTGGGCTTCATACAGACCCACGATGTCACCTGCACAGAAAAAGACTCGGTTCCACCTGCCTGAGCGTGAGCGGCCTGACACCCCAATTCCTCACACGCACAAACGCACTGGCCACTGTCCCGAGGGAACCAAACCAGTCAGGCTGCAGCTGGAGCCAACGCCCAAACCCTATAGGGTGACGGGCCCAAGGCAAGGGACCAGCCACCGGACACGGGAACGAGGCTCGGGCAGAGCAGACCCCGGGGGTGGAGGCTCTGGCCTGGCGCCCCTGCACCCATAGGCTCCTCTGTGTGCAGGGGCCCGGGTTCAGAGGTCAGCACTCAGGACTCTCAGGAAAGGCCACGCAGCAGGGGGACAGCTGCAGGGGCCGGGGAACTGTTCCTCAGACTGGAAATGGGTGGGCAGGGCATGGCCTGAGGGGGACCATGAGCCCATGGTGGGGACACCCCAGGTGACCCTGGAGCACGGAGGACAGAGGGCCAGTGCTTCCCTGTGGCCTGCAGAACACTGCCCCCTCCTGGAGGCACGGCGCCCTGCGTGGACGCCCGCTCACAGATCCCCACCCACCTCCCAGAGACCCCAGAACAGCCGTGCAACACCCTCGAGTGGCCTCTTCTCGGTCACGGGATGCCCTCTCAACTCTCACCCCGTTACAACCCTCACGGACGCACCCGCCCACTCGCGTGGAGCTGGGGACAGGCACTGTGGGGATCCCCGCCACCTCCCGGGGTCCCTTCGGTCTCAGGGAGAGAAATCGAAGGCTCGGTCACCCCAGAGCTGGATGAGAGACTTTTCTGGAACAGCCGGAGTGGACAGAGCCGTCCCTCTGTGGCTCCAGGCCAAGGTCCAGCGCCACTGCCACTGATCCGTGGCCCAGGCACCACTTCCGACGGCCCTGCCCTCCCATGGGGACACAGTGGCATCCTGCACCCCCATCAACGGGCTGCCCTGGGGACAGCGTGGGGCAGGAGATGTCCCTGTGCCCACAATGAACGGGACTCAGCTTTATCACCCAGCCTATGTCATGCCACCCGGAAGTCAGCGGCCTAGAAAATTGCACCAAGACACGTCAATGTCTGAGGCGAGCCCGGCAGCCCCATCGGGGGCAGGAGAGGCCGGGGCACAATCCGGGTTGCTGGGCCATGCGCTGGGGGGAGCCCGGGGCCACACACGTGCCCCCAGGGTGCTGCAAGGTTTGGTTTGGCTTTTTAGAAGAGGCCGCAACATCTTATTATGACATCTTATTATCTCACTCCTACTTTGGACAAACTGGCAGGCTACCGAATGTAGCCTGCCCACACGGCAGAGTCTGGCAAACTCCCCTTGGCGTACCAAATATGCCAAATACCAGTAACAATGCTGGGTCTCATTCTCCTAAAGAGCCTTGAATATAATCTCAGGGCTAGGATGAAGGAGACGTTACTGGGGCCTGCTCGAGGCAATCGACGAATAACAGGATGATTTGTGATTTGTGATTGTGATTTAGAAGAGGGGGCGGCGTTGGGGCCGGAGCGAGAGTAGGGGGGGGAGGGCACTGGCCAGGGACAGGGCCAGCCCAGGCTCAATCCGAGCCCCACCAAGAGCGATTACTGAGCACAAGGCCAGGAGGAAACCCTGAACATCGCAGGGTGTGACCTCTCCCCCCCCAAAAAAAAGTACAAAGAAGAGTGGGCGGTGGGCCACAGAAGTCCTGAACCCCGCAAGACGAATCCGACGCAGCTAGTGGCTGGTTCCACACCCTTCTTGGCACTGGGGGACCCAGAGAAGAGACCCCTGCCAGGTCCCGGACCCTCCCAGAAAGAGCAGCACCCACGCCACTGACCGGAAGTGAAGCTGTTGCTTGGCAGCACCGGGGCACCGCCCCTCCGCGGCTCCAGCGTGACCAGCAGCCGCCCGTAGAGACCCGTGCGCTGGCCCGACACCTGCAGCTTCAGCAGACACACACCACGACTCTGCAGCTCCCTCGGGGACACGCTCTCCTGCCAGCTCCTGGAGACACCGGACCCCAGGCTCGGACCTCTGCTGTGGCCGACCTGAGCCCTCCACCCTGCCAGCCCACCCCGGTGGCCCGGGTCACACCTGGGTCACGCAGACCGGGACTCCCTATGCCTCCGCCCCCGCTGGCCTCCACATCCCGTAGCCAGGGCCAGGGCACCAGGGTCCCACATGCAGACCCAGACCCCAATGTCCCTGTGACCCGGCTCCTCCCAGGGGCTTAGGAAGCTCCCCTCAGCCTCACCGCCAAATGGCAGGCAGGAACAACGCCTGTTGTACAGAGGAGGACACTGAGGCTGGACGTGATTGCCCGCTCACAGCCAGAACAAACGGGCTCCTTTTGTTCCCAAGGGCAGGGGGGCCTCCAACCTCACCCAAGTCTCCCCCACACCCCCAGGAATATGAGCAGCACAAAGCCTGCGGCCAAATCCCGATGCTACTAGTGCTTCCCAGCTGTGCTCCGGGTGCTGGGCACTGACCTCTCGTCTCAGTGCCCCTTCGATACTTGGGAGTGCCACTAGGTCATGTCACTCTGCCCAGAGATGGCTCCAGCGTGGACGCCCCGGGCCCCTCTGCGGCTGCCCCTCCTCCCTATCCAGGAGTGCTCCTCCCCAGCCCCCCCAACTCCTAGCTTCCTTGGGGCAGCTGAGCTCAGGCACCCCCTGCCCCTGCCACCACACGGGGTGCCTGGGGATTCTGTTCCCTCCCACTCGGGGGCTGCCCTGGGAGGTGCCGGCCTCCAGGGTGGGGGGCGTGGGGGACAACGGCTAGGCAGGTGGCTTGGTGAGAAGCTAAGGTACAAATGCCTCCACCTCTGTATGGGTCAGACGTCACCTGGGAGCACACAGGCTCCGAGAAGGGAGCACCCCGGCCTGAGGCCACACAGCAGGGAGGCACCCGCAGGACCTGGGAGCATCAGGCCAAAACAACACAGCGCTGGGGCTGGTGCGATAGCACAGCGGGAAGGGCGTTTGCCTTGCACACTGCCGACCCGGGTTCGATTCCCAGCATCCCATAGGGTCCCCCAGGAGCACCGCCAGGAGCGATTCCTGAGTGCAGAGCCAGGAGGAACCCCTGTGCACTGCCAGGTGTGACCCAAAAAGAAAAAGAAAACAAACACAGCGCTGCCTCGGTGGGACGGTCCCCCCAGGCCTCGGGCTCCGGCTCCACGTCCCCGGGGTCCCAGTGGGGACCAGAGATGGGGCGGCAGCGCGAAGCCTGGCCCGGGCGGGTGAAGCCGAGGCCTGGGCAGGGCAGGGCAGGGCAGGGCAGGGCGGGCACGGGCGGCCCTACCTGCGCTCCTCCACCTCCGCGTCCCTCTCGAGCTCCAGCAGCTCCAGTTGCCTGGCCACGAAACCCTCCACGGCCGCCGAGTCCATGGCCGCGGCTGTCCGGCGATGCCCGCAGCCGGCCCGGCTCTGCGCAGCGTGGAGAACCGCCCCCCACTACCCTCACCTCCCGGTGTTTCCGGCCGGGCGCGGTGCGTCGCCGGACCGGGTCCGCGCCGGCTCCACTTCCGCTTCCGGTCGGGGTCGGGGGAAAGATGGCGGCGGCCAGGGGCGCCGCGGCGCTGCCGGTCACCCTGGCGCGGCTGGCGTCGGCGTGCGGCCGCCGCATCCCGAGGGCGTCGGGGCCCGCAGCGGGTGAGCCCCGGGGGGCGCGGGGCGCGGGGCGGGGGGAGCCGAGCCCCTCGCGTCGCCGCGCGCGTCCGTGCGCCCCGAGGCCCCGCGCGGCGGTGGAGGCGGGGTCCCGGGCTCGCGCTGGCCGTGGGTGGGGGCCACGCGGAGGGCCGCCGGGGGCGCGGGCGGGCTCGGGCGCTGTCCCCGCGCCGGGGGAGGCCGACCCGGGAAAGCGCTGCCCCCTCGGCAGCGGGCAGTCACGTCTCCCGTGGCTGTCGCGGGCCGGGGGCGGGACCCCCGCGTGGGGGCCGCAGCTTCCATCCCCGGCACCTCGTGGCCTCCCCCCCACCCCGAGCACCCCCAGGAGCCCCCGGACGGCAGCAGGGCGGATGCGATCTGTGTTCGGAGCAGGCAGTGGACGGCGCCCCCGTGCGCCCCGGGGGACACGGGGTGCCCGTCCAGCGTGGCTGCCGCCTTCCGTCCCCCTGGACTCAGCCCCCGGCTGTCCCGCGGGGGCCGAGCACTCTCGCCCTGCTTTGCCGTGGGGCCCTGGGAGCAGGAGGGGGCCCTTGCAGCCCGTTCCCGGGGCGCTGCCTGCCCACTGCCCTGTCCTGCGCGGGGTGAGAGAGTGGGGGGCCGGGCAGAAGGCTCCTCCGGGGGCCCCTGGAGAAGGCCGTCAGCCGCCCTGGGGGGAATTAGCTGCTTTAGGGCGGTCGCAGGCCAGGATCCCCCCCCCCTTGTGCGGAAAGATGAGGCAGCCAGGGGGTGGAGGCGGGGAGCGCTGGAGAGAGGGGCGAGGGGAGGGTTGGGGAGACCACGGGGGGGGGTGCTGCTGAGAATGGGGACATCGCCTGCGGGGCGGGACTTGGGGAGAAGCAGCAGAAGGAGTGTGGGGGGGCGTCGGTCAGGACTGGGGGTGCCAATGAGACGCGGGGTGGCCAGGTCCGGCCTGTTTGGGGGCCCACTGCCCTGATGCAATTGCCCGAGGAGCAGCCTGGGGCCAAACCCAGGCACCCACCCCAGGATGGGCTGCTCAGGGGTGACCTGCTTTGGGCTTAGGGGTCACACCTGGAGGTGCCGGGCCTGGGTGCTCCGAGGACCGAGTGGCGTGGGGGACCAACCCGGGCCCCCCGCGTGTGGAGCAAGTGCCCAGCTCAATACTCTCTCCAGCACACCCTGCCCTTGAGCATGAAAGGTGTGAACGGGGCGTGTGAGCCGCAGAGGTGCCAGCAGGGGTGAGCCCTGCTTGGAGCCCAACTGCAGGGCGCTGCACCGAAGCCCCGCCCCCAGCCACGCCACGCCCCCCGAGACCACGCCCACTTGCTCCTGGCGCCCCGCCCCCAGCACTGCCCCGCCTCCTCCCGAAGCCCCGCCCCCGAGGCCCCGTGTCCCTGAAGGTGCCTGTCCCCTTCTGCTGTGTGCAGGTGCCCCCGCCTGCAGCCCATCCGTGTCACGGTTAGGGCAGCGGACTCGCTGCTGTCGGTGTGTGTGTGTGTGTGTGTGTCAGTAGCAACTGGCTCAGCCCATCACCCAACTGCCCAGCAACTCAGAGGGACAGAGTGGTCATGTGGGACATGCGCTGGGCGGAGCTTCAGGAAGAGGCGGGCTGGGGGGCTAGGGGGGACTGGGAGACGCGATGCCGACCTGACCCAGCGCGGGTCCAGACCACGAGGCCCCTAGTGATCCCGTCTCTTGCTCCTCAGCCTGCCTGTGGCCCGTTTCCAGAAGCTTCAGCTCGCCGAGCAGGTCGTTCCCAGCCGGGTAAGACCCCCGTGCAGCCTGGGGGGTGCCCTGTCAGTGGACTGGCTGGAAAGTCCAACCTCAGGACTGGAGAGATAGACCAGCAGGGAAGGCACCTGCCTCGCATGTGGCCGACCCAGCACCACCAGGAATAAGTCTTGAGCACCATTCAATGTGAACCCCCCCAAAAAAGTTGGGGTTTGGGAGAACTCTCAGGTTTGATCTGAATTGAGTTCCTGGGTTGTGCCCCAGGGCTGCTCCCAGCTCACGGCTGGGGTCACTCTCGCCCTGTGCAAAGCTCTCGTGTGACCCTCCTAGCCGTCTCCTTGCCCTTCTGGAAAATCTGACCTTTTCTCAGATCCTTAGCACGTTCCAGAGTGCGGAGAGAGGGTGGTGCAGGGAAGAGAGGCGTGTCCTGCGCGTTCTGAAGGCGCTGGGCCCCCCGGGAGGAAGCATAGGGCACTGGGGGTTGGAATCACAGGTCCGGGCACTGGACCCGGGGAAGGCAGTACCCTGAGTTGTGCCCCGTGCCGCCTGTTGACACGTGCGTGCTTGTCCCTCCAGGTATGTGCCCCCCACATCCCTGAGCTCACCGCCCTGGCCCGCCGTGGTTCTGCCAGACCCGGCCGAGGAGACGCGCCATCACGCCGGTAAAGGCAGCCCCGTCCTCCCGCCCCCGCCTCACCCCCGTGCCCCGTGGGCCCCAGCTGTCCCCTGAACGCCTCAGAGTAGGTGGGGGAGGGGCGTGGGGGCGTCCCGTCCTGCCTTGCTGTGCGTGGGCACATGGGTGCAGGAAGAGCGGGGATGCTGTGGCCGCTCAGGGTCTCCCAGCCCGGGGAGCGTTGCCCCGAGTGCCGCCTGCTCAGCCGGGGGGTGTCGCTCCGTCCCCCAGCCGTGGTGCAGATGGTGAATGAGCTCATCGCAAGTGGCCAGTACGGCCGGCTCTTTGCCGTGGTCCACTTTGCCGGCCACCAGTGGAAGGTCACGTCCGAGGACCTGATCCTGATTGAGAACGAGCTGGAGGTGTCTTGCGGGGAGCGGATCCGGCTGGAGAAGGTGAGGCCGCGGCTGCCGGGGGGGTGCGGGGCTGTCCCCAAGCCGGCCCTACCCACGGCCAGACCCAGGGGCACGGAGGGGGGGTGGGGGGGTGGGGGGGGAGGGCGCGTCTCTGCGAGGCAGGAGGGGTTCAAGGCCGGTGCCTGTGTCTCTGTGGAGTTGGCAGCGAGGGAGGCCGTGTCCAGCCCGTGTCCCCTCTTGCCGGGGAATCGTGGGGCAGACAGTGATTCCCTTCCCGTGGCCAGGGGCGCCCCGTCTAGGCTGGGCGTGGCCTCTCACCGGCCACTGCCTTTTCTTCCAGGTCCTGCTGGTCGGGGCTGACAATTTTACGCTGCTCGGGAAACCGCTCCTGGGGTGAGGCTCCTGGCATGGGACAAGGGGGCGCGGGGGTGGCCAGCGTGTGAGTCTCCGGACACGGGTGTTGAGCACAGGCTCTGCCCACGGAACGCCGGGCTGGATGCGCTGTGCTGTGTCCTGAGCACAGAGGCAGGAGCAGCCCCGAGTCCCGCTGGGGGCCCCGAGAGCTGCCCCCGTGCCTGTCTCGGGTGTCTGTGGGGAGCACCCCTCCCCCCCCCCCCCGTGTCCAGTGAGCAGGGCAGGGCGCCGTCGGGGGGACCAGCGGCTGCTCACCGTGCCCCTCTGCAGGAGGGACCTCGTCCGCGTGGAAGCCACCATCATCGAAAAGACCGAATCGTGGCCGAAAATCAACATGAAGTTTAGGAAAAGGAAAAACTACCAAAAGAAAAAGAGTGAGTGGAGAGAGCAGCCGGGCCTGCTGGGGCAGGGCGGGGACGGCCCGTGCAGGAGACCCCAGGGGGCCTGAGGCAGGCCCAGGACTGAGTCTCCCACAGGGGTCTGGGTGAATCCACACACCCACAGAGACACAGTCGCACCCCAGAGAAGCAGCAGAAGCCCCGGGCTGCGCTGGGCAGGGTGCTAGGGACCGAAACACACCCTAGTTCCATCCTCTCTGGGGTTCCCCAGACTCCTCCCTCTCCGTTCATCCCTCCTGGTCCCCGTGTCACGGTCGTAACCTTGAGACTGCTGAGACCGCCCCCATGGAAGCGGGGGCAGGAGGGGGTGCTGAGGCCCCGGGGTGTGGCCTGGTCTCCTGAGTGCCTGGGCCCCCCTGCAGGGGCACCACCTGCCACCTCTGGGGTGGGGAGAGGGGGTTGGGTGGGGGCAGTTTGGCCAGGAGGCGCAGAGGCCAGGATCTGGCCCTCGGGGTCAAGAGGAGGGGATGGGGGCCCCTGTGGCTGGGGAAGGGGTGAGTCGGGGAGGCCCAGGGCCCCAGGGCCCTAGCGGCTGGTGTGTCCCAGCTCCCGAGCCCAGGGCAGGCGTGGGTGTGAGACCCTCTTTTCTCCGGCAGTCATCGTGAACCCCCAGACCGTCCTCCGCATCAACAGCATCGAGATCGCCCCGCGCCTGTGCTGACCCTTCCCGTGGGAACGTGAACCAGCTTCAGTGTCGTGGGCACGGGACCGTCACGGACAGCGGCCCCCAGGACCTTGGGAAGGACCTTGGGAAGGACCACGGGCGGGGCCTGTGCATGCAGAGACCCCGGGGTCCATCCCGGGCGCCCCATGGGACCCCAGGCCCTGCCGGTTGTGGCCTCACAAAATGAAAACAAAGAAAGAATTCCAGGCCCAGCCTCCTGGGGCCGGAAGTGGACGCTTGTGTGAGCCCGGCCTGTGTCTTGGCTGCCCTCCACCCTGGCAGGTGGCAGCCCAGAGCACACCGGGGGAGGGGGGTGGGGGCGCTGGAAGGATCCAGATTCCTCCTCGGGGCGAGGTGGGTGAGGTCAGCCTGTGCCCGGCTCCTCCCCTGTCCCTGGCGCTCTGCCTTTTTCTCTCCCCCCCAGGGCGGGGACTCCCGCCACACACTCTGCAGTGCCACCTGGGCCTTGGTTACTTCTGTCCTGTTTGGGGCAGGGGGGCCAAGGGGCTCAGGGGCGGTTCCAGGGGCCCCC